CATATATTTTATTAGTTTAACTACTGCTCCCGGAGTGTTAAACTACTAAGGCTTATCAGAATTGATTGTTCAACTACTACTCCTTTGATAGTCTATCTTAAAACCGTCGTCAAAATATAAATATTCAATTATCTTTGTTATTTTGCTAATCAATTCAAAATTGTTTATATTTTCATGAAAATCACTAATTTGAACTAATAATTACATCTTTATGTATTAAAAGTAGGTTTAAATACGTTTTACCTTGAAACCTATTTAACTACTGGGTATTTTATCTTATAATGTTATTTTTTATTTTTCGTCTTATTTTCAATTTTAATTTTCTCCAAATTATAAATAAAATTACCTTAAATACTTCCGGGTACTGAATCAATCCCATCAAACTCAAATAACCACCGTAAGACCATCCGTGAAGAGCAACCCGGTTCAAATCCAAGTATCCCAATTTATCGGCCAACAAATTTAGCACCTCAACCTGATCACTTAATTCGACAGTTCCCATTCGCCGCTTCAAGTGACTCTCGAACATCAAACCGCGGTAGTGGGATCCACGGTTGTCTATTAAAACAACGCAGTAGCCTTGAGACGCTAGCATGTGCATTCTTAAATGTCGCATCCCCTAAAATTAATTATATTTATTATATTATGATATTAAATAATAATTTATTAAAAAATTTCACGTGACAAATGCCAAAAGAACTGATAAAAAAATTTTTTTGTGGATCTACAAATTTATTTTAAGTTTAAGACTGAAAAAAAAAACATTTTTTCTTAAACCAAAAGAGCGTAAAAATTTTATTTTAATACTTTGAAAACATATTTTATGTTTAAAAGTGAAAAAAAAATTTAGAAAAAGCCAAAATTTCAAAGGAAAATTTTGAAAAAAAATTTAGTTTCTTCTTTGAATCATTTTGAACATTTTAGTACAAAAAATCTTAAAATTAAACAACAAAATCTAAAAAATTGAATATTACTAAATTAACCCACTTTTTTACAATTTATTTTTTTCTCTTAAAAAAATTTCAAAGGAAAATTTTGAAAAAAATTCAGTTTCTTATTTGAACTATTATAAAAATTTTAGTGCAAAAAATACGTCTCAAATTTTAACAAAAAATATAAAAAATTGATTATTAATCAATTAACATTCAGATGATCTAATGAAAACTCGATTTTTTTAAAACGGGGTGAAAACAATAACTTTCCGATTTTTGAAAATCTGAGATTTTTAGCGGGAAGTTAAAAATATAAAAAATTGATTAATATTCAGGTTGTTAGTTCAAATAATTATTTTCCATTTTACAACTCAAAAATAGAGTATCAAATTTTTTTACCGCCCTTTTGGCACATAACCTATAGGGACCGAGCGCTAACTGTAGAGGCAGCACATCAGTCAGAAATGGCGCGCCCTGGTGTTTAACAAAAGCACTAAATGGGCAAAAAGTATTACAATAGCTTATGTATTTTTTTACTAAATAATAGAAAAAATAATAAAATATGCTTTTTGACCAGTATTAATCGGTCGTATTGGAAGCAAAAATAATTGAGAAAGTTAAAAAAAAACTTTAGGCCATGTATATTAAATGTGTTAAAAGAAATTCAACATTATTAAGTCAAATAGCCATGTAAACATAGCCTCCAAAGTTCAATTCCGCCTCTAAACACTTCGTATGCCTGTCATTTTTCTCTGGAATACCACTAGTACTGAGCGAAAAATAATAAAATTTCACAAGTTTGTCAATTTGACGGTTCCGACTTGATATATTTATGTATGTCGTGATATGTCAAAACTCTACAGTTAAAAAAATTTCAAACAATTTATTAATTTATTTAAATAAAAAATAAATTAACATTAAATCACATGTAAGAGTTTAAAATTTTTGCCCATTAGCTTACAATTTCTATCACCAGTTGGCGTGATAGTCTAGAGGCTCGGTCCCTATTGCAACCTCCAAAAAACTAACCTTAAAAGTATTAGAAACCAATTGAACCTCCGGGCCTCCATAAACCTGCAAAATAACTGGATACTTAACCCTGGGCCTATAATTATGCGGCTTAAAGACCATAGAATAAATGGTATCCCCAGAATTAATTTTATGCGCATGAATAACCGGAGCGAGTAGATCAATCTCCGAATTAGTAGGCTCCAACAAGTACCCAACAGGCGTGAGACTGATGCTCTCCACAGTCCAATCACTCTGAGAAATCCTAAACACCTGGCAGGTTGGCAGAGTCTTAATAGAGCTATAAACAGCAACCATCATGGTGCACTCCTTATTGAAGCATATGCTGTTGTAACTGTGCCCTGGTCTGGTGAGCAACCTAACCTCCAGGGGCCTCCTGAGGGACACCGCATAGGCATGCTGCTCCAAGGGTCCTTCTTTGAGTCCCACAAAGTATACAATTGAATTGGTGGTGTCCACCCAGATCTTCTTCCCCAGGACCGGCCAGTCGCCCTGGGTGATGGCGACCTTGGAAATGACCCTTGGTTGGAAGTAAACACTGTCCAGGCGGTCAAGAGGTTCCTCAATTCCATTGCTCAGTCCAGCAATGCTGGAAGTTATTAGATACAAGTGCATGTACTTGGACTCTTCGCTTCCCCAGATGAACTTGACCTCTGTGGGGTCATCTGACGGGAGGAAGTACAGCAGGTCGTTGACGTTGATCCAAATTGAGCTCTCCTCGGAGTAAATAACCTGGACACTGGCTGAAGAGGGTGTGAAGTGGTTCTCCGAGTTGTAAACGTTGGGAGGAGGCTCGCAAAAGTTGTCAACAGAGAGGAGCACTAGCTCAATCCTCTGCTGTCTTCGGTCCAGCAATTGGACCCAGACGTTGCTGCCATCTGGCGTCCAGCCAACTCGGACTAAATATTCCATCCACGGGAACATTATGTGCAGCGGATATTGCAATTCTAGGGTCTCTATTTCGACTATTTGCTGGGTATCGGTCAACCGAAATTGCAGCATCTTTAAATTACTCTTGGCATTCGAAGTTCCCGCCCGCGGAAACCGGAACTCGTCGACTTCTCCCGAGTTTAGGGTTGACGAAGGAAAGCAGAAGATTTTAACGTCGCTCTCGTCGACCTCCTCGTAGACTATTCGGTAAACTCCGTCGGAGGATTTCGGCTGCCACCAGTACCCGGTGTAACGCGTGAATTCTTCCTGCATTACGTAAGAAGGTGTTCCGGCGGTTAGGGGGTCTTCGGTTAGGTTCTTTCCGCCCTTGCGCGCGTAAGTTAGGCGCACGGAACATCCGGTTATGGAGTGCGAGAGGTACAGGTCGCCGGAACAGGTATGGGCGACCAGAGCGCTGTTCCAAGGACAGATTTGGGGGCACAGTTTTGCGCCGGGTGCGAGAATTCGTAATTCGGATGGGAATAAGGGACCCGGGAGGAAACCCGTGTCTATGCATTGGTACAGGCTACTTGCGGCGGGGAATACTAGCTTGCCGGTTTCAAGGTGGATTTCGTAAGAGGTTATTCCCCAGGTGGTCAGTCTTTTCCTCTCCCAGAGTAACTGCTCTTCTTTTGATAGTCTGTTGGCACTTGAAACGCTGAAAGGTAAATTTATATATGAGTTTTTTTTAATAAAATTTAGTAGAATTGGAAAGTTAAAGGACTTAATAGTTGTTTAGGTGGGTTTTAAATTAGAAATTGTTTTTTGAATTTGAATTTTGGCGGGAGAGTGACGTAGTTCTGGATCCGGTGCGCAACGCCATCTTACAGAGAGTTTAAAAAACTTTCATAAACCCGGGAAGGTTTGAATGTTTTATTTGATTTAATAAGTGTTTAAAATTTTTTATTTATTTTAGATTTTCTATACAATTAAGGGAATTCGAGCGTAACTAATGAGTCAAAATAATATTAAATTTTTTTTTATTTTAGTCTTCCTAATATTCGTAAAAATTCTTTATTTTAGCCCGTGTATAAGGAGATAAAATATGTGATTTTTAAAATTTAATATCTAAGTAACTAAACGGTGAATCTTTTTAAAATTTTGGGATTAAATAAATGACGTATTTATTTATACGTATACTTAATTTCAAAGCTCTAAGTTGGAAATTATTTTTTACATTAGATTCGCTCGAACCAACTTAAGGAAGTCCTTTCGCTCCAGGTGAGTCGAAAAAATAGTAGTAGTCAATATTCAATAAATTAAAATAAAAAAACCACAAAAATTCTTAAAATTAAAAAATAAATAGTATATGAGGCATTAAAGTTCATAAAATATTAAACTTTACTGATGTATAATTAAGGACTTTAACTATTAGATAAAAATTAATTTTATGCATATTTACCTCTGGAAATTGGCTTCAATGACAGGTTGCCAGTGTAATTTACATCCATTACACTGCTCGTACTGACCAATGTCAACAAACAAAAGCGTTGTTTCCCAACCATTACTCGGAGTGCCCAAAAAATATATTCTTGTCCTAAAAAATTAATTATTACATTAATTATATTAAATATTTTTGAAATTATAATTTTTATAAATTTTTTAATAAATAAATTACAGCAAACAAAACATTTAAAAAAAAATTGACATGTAGAAATTTAAAACGACAAAAATGAGAATGAAATTAGTCACAATGGTAAAATTTCATAATTTTTTCATTAAAGAAAATTAATTTTTTAAAATTAAAACAAAAAATTTGACATATAGAAAATTTTATGTGCGATTTTTTAAAAATAAATTTATTTATTATATAAAATTAACAAATAATGAAATGATAGCTACATTAAAAGTAATATTTTTTTAAACAAATTTTTTTTGTAAAAAAAAAAGTTTTTAAATAATCAAGTGGTAGCTAACTTAAATTTCAAAAAATATGATACTAAAAAGTTAGCTGTCAGCTGTCAATTGTAAAAATTTTTATAACAAATCAATTAAAAATAATAAAAAAATAGCGACTATGCAGTCACTGTGTGACTGCCGTGACTTGTGCATTATAAATAAATAAAATTTAGCTTTATTAAATAATGACTTTTATTAAATGGCACGGTACTTTCTTAAATATCGACATTTTTAAAGTTATAAGCTCATCCCGATGTTACACTCATCAAGACCTTTCATTTGAGTACCCACATAGATTTTTTATATATTTTCCATATATACATATATATGATATATATAAATATATAAAATATATAAAAAATTGATGTGGGTATTCAAATTAAAGGTCTCGATGAGTGTAACATCGGGATGAGCTTATATCTTTAAAAATGTCAATAATTAAGAAATTACCTTGTATCTTGTGAAAGATTGACATTTTTAAAGATATAAGCTCATCCCGATGTTATACTCATCAAGACCTTTCATTTGAGTACCCACATAGATTTTTTGTATATTTTCCATATATACAAAATGCGTGTGGGTACTCAAATGAAAGGTCTCGATGAGTGTAACATCGGGATGAGCTTATATCTTTAAAAATGTCAATAATTAAGAAATTACCTTGTATCTTGTGAAAGATTGACATTTTTAAAGATATAAGCTCATCCCGATGTTATACTCATCAAGACCTTTCATTTGAGTACCCACATCAATTTTTCATATATTTTATATATTTATATATATTATATATTATATATATGTATATATGAAAAATATATCAATAGATGCATGTGGGTACTCAAATGAAAGGTCTCAATGAGTGTAACGTCAGGATGAGCTTATATCCTTAAAAATGTCAATAGTTTCCAAGATACAAGGTCATTTTTTAATTATGTACCTTAAATTTTTTTTATAACAATTTAATAAAAAAATTCTTACCTTCCATCTGGTAGCGATCTAAAAGTAATATGATCAGGAACAGAGCCATCAGAAACTCCCGACAATTTTCTCCTAAATTCACTAACAACACCCCGAAGTTCAGACCAACTTTTTTTATTTTTCGGACTTGGTTCATACTCAAAATCTTTTCCTTCTTTGCAAGACTCCATTGTTGATCATTAACAGGAAAAATAATAATTTATTTAAATCTTTGTTATCAGCTGATCTGAAATAAAAACAATAATAATTATAATTATAATAATAATGTTACTATTTATACATAAAATAAATATATAAACTTTCAAGGATATTTAATCACAATAATTATTCAGAGGTTATGTCAAAATAATATTTACTGTCATAAAATTTCAATTTTAATTTTTTTTTTATTAGAAAAAAAATGTATTTTAATTAAAATTGAAATAAATTAATTATTATGACGTAAATAAATATTATTATTATTATAAATTTAATAATTCGGGGTGTATATATAAATCTGTCGGATCAACTGTCACAACAGAGCAGCATGACAACTTTATTTTCTTGGCGGTTTATCAAATTATTTAAAAGACTGCCTAAATTCACTCGGCTGGCTTTTTAAGTATTTTTTATAACATTTTAATTTGTTGAATAATTACTGAGTTTATTTAAATAAATAATTGTATTTTTTTATTTTTATTTTATATTCCATTACCTGACGAAATGTTGTGAGTTAAAAATAACTTAACCGGATGGCGGTGAGACTACTTGGTGGGTCTTCTCCGTTGACCCCTTTTCTCTTTTTTTTTATTTTTTATACCACCAGCGCTGGTTTTTACTCTAGCGGTGAAATTTTGAATTAAAAAATTTAGCGGGAAAATTTAAATTATTAAAAAATTTTTTTTTATTTTTAAATTAAGTGATGTTGAAAAATAATTTAATTAGAAGTTAAATAATTTTTTTTTTAATTAATATAATTCCATAAAAAAAATAAAATAGTTTTTTTTAATAAAAAATTGCAATTATTATTTTTTTAATTAAAAAAAAGTAAAATATTTTTTTTTTAATAAAAAATTCCAATTATTATTTTTGTAATAATTAAAAAAGAATTGTAAAATATTTTAAAAAAAAAAAAAATATTTATAATCTTCATTTTTTTTTTAGAAAAAAAAAATTGAAGATAAAAAACAAAAAAAAAACAATGATTCAGTATAAATTGTTTGTGGTTTGATAAAAAAAAATGAATTTAAAAGGATTAAAAGATGTAGTGGAATTTTCTAGAAGAAAGCCATGGAAAGACTGGAAATTAAATTTATACACTTGGAAAAAATTGAAGAATAATTCTGCGGTAAGTAATAAATTTTTATTAAAAAAGATTTTTAAATTTTATTTGTAAAATAAAATTAACAAAAGCGACATTTGGTTACTCTGAGTAGATTTTTTTTTATGTATAAAAAATAGGATTTATCATGAATAATTGTTAAATTCCAATACATTAATAAAAATCGACGAATTATAGCTTTAAATAAAGATAATTATGTAAACTATGTAAATTTAACGGATTTAAGGTATCTTTCACAGTTAAAAAGTTATTTTAAAATACCCGCCCAGAAAACATTTATTGATGAATTTTGTTTAATTTTCAGTCACCAAATAAATTTAAACAACTCATCAAAAGTCGACGAATAATACCTTTAATTGAAGATAATTATGTAAACTTTCAGATAAATTAAATAGATTTTTATCTTTAACGGGTGAAAAATAATTTCGATAAAATAGTAAAAATTCGAAATTTTTCTAAAATGACAAATGTTTAAAACAGCCACAACTCGTAAACTAACCAGCGGATTTGGCTCATATTAAAACTGTATCTCGGTATTGATTCATAGAATAAGTCCACTAAGTTTCATAAAGATCGGTCAAGAACTCTAGGCGCAATCCTGCTTACATCCCATACAAATAAACTTTTCCTATTTTTCAGCATAAATTACACCCCAAAATTTTTTTTAAAATTGCAATACAAGCCCTTCAATATCTAAATTCCTATAAAATTCTACCTAGAAATAAAATTCAACTATCGGTTCACTAACCCCGATGAAATATCAATAAAAAAAAGTATATCTGTTGCTTCTCTTTTTTTTTTTATTCACCTTTCAATATTTACTGTATTTTTTAATGAAAATAATATAAATAGGTTCAAAAAAAGTTTCTTATTTTTACCAAAAAATATTTCTTATATACTTAAGATATATAAAAATAAAAAAAAACCCAAGATGAGAAAGAATTATCAAAAGATCGAATTGTTCCGTCGCGAAGAAATCTCCGCGGCGCGTTTTGGTATCAGGGTAGCAGAAATTTATAAAAATATTCATTATTATCAAAGCTTTAAAACCCCCGAGGTATTTTTTAGTTGATAAAAAAGCAAAAAATTATTACTAATATCGATTTCAATTGAAATAATGGTAATTGCTTGAAGGAGTTTGATGAAACTGGATCGCAACGCACCACTATCAGGATACCAGAATTACCAGGAGCAATTTCTATTGATAAAAGCATATATATGTTTGTATGGATTTAAACGCTCCTTCTCAGCCCTTCTGCTCTCCAGACAGAGATCTTATATTTTTTGGTCTCAACTTTGCTTGCTTTGTTTGAGGTCGCTTTTAGTTACCCTCCTGATTTTTTTTTTTTTTTTTTTTTCCCTGGCTCCTAAATAGGGCTAATACCCATGTTAGATTTAATCACTTGCTTTTTGGTGATTAAACATATTTTCACATTTATAAATTTTAATAATCATTTCAAGATTAATCTATATTAATTTTTGTCCTAGTTAAAAAATAAAAAAAAAAAAAAATTGGAAAAGGAATTCAAAGGTATTAAAAAAAATTCAAATTTTGTTATTTTTATTTATTTATTATTTCAAACTTAAAATTTAATTCGAGAATTTTTTATTAAAGAAAAAAGATTTATTTTAACATATAAAATTTATTTTTTTTCTACAAAAAATATAGAAATTTATTATTCATTTTTTTATTAGGTAATTCTGCACAATTTTATTTAAAATAATATTTTTAGAAAATGAATACAACGCCACCTGTTGACTGTTTTAGTAACTAAATTTTGTAGTACCATGCCATCTGTTGAATATCTATGTAACTAAATTTTGTTTTTGTAGAGGTTAGAATAACGAACAAAGAATGTTTGCTGACACGCAAGTGAAAAAAGTCTTACTAACTATTTAAATACAAAAATAAATAATAAATAAAACAATTTTTTTAATATTATAAAAAAAATAGTATAATTACAATCTAAAAAATAACAAAAATATTTTCTTTACATACAATCAAAATCTATATATATAAGGTTATAAAATTTATTTTTTTCCATAAAAAATCTTGTAAAAATTTATTACATATTTTATTTTTACTAATAATTCTATACAATTTAACTATTGAAACAATTTTCAGAAAATATATATTGCGCCACCTGTTGACTGTCTATGTAACTAAATTTTGTAGTACCGCGCCACCTGTTGATTATCTTTATAACTAAATCTTGTAGTGCCACGCCATCCGTTGAATATTTATGCAACTAAATTTAGTTTTTAGTTACATCAAATGAAGAAAGTCTTATTAACTATATTCATAAATAAATAATTAATTAATGGAACACTTTTTACAATATATTAAAAAAATAGTAATATAATCTAAAAATTAACAAAAATATTTTTTCTTTTTATACACATGCAAAATATATATCTAAACATATAAAATTTAATTTATCCACAAAAATATTCTTGTCAAAATTTATTATTCATTATGTTTTTGCTAATTCTATACAACTTTACTTTTAAAAAAAATTTTTAGAAATTAAATACCGCGCCATCTGTTGAATGTCCATATAACTAGATCTTGTAGCACCTCGCCATCTGTTGAATATCTTTATAATTAAGTCTTTTAGTACCACGCCATCTGTTGACGGCCTTTATAACTAAATTTTGTTTTTGTAGAAGTTGGCGCAACGAGCAAAGTGTTTGCTGACACACAAACGAAGAAAGTTTTATTAACTATATTAATATGAACAAACTAATAAAAAAATTTTTACAATATTAGAATAAAAAAGTAGTAACATTAATATCTACAAATTAACATTGATACATTATTTTTAATTTTTTATTTAAAAAATTTCTTTATATATACGCAAAATACATATCTAAACATATAAAATGTATTTTATTTTTGCTAATTTTATACAATTTTACTTTTTATACAGTATTTAGAAAATAAATACAACGCCATCTGTTGACTGTCTTTGTAACTAAATCTTGTAGTACCACGCCATCTGTTGAATATCTATATAACTAAATTTTGTTCTAGTAGAGGTTGGCTCAACTTATTAACTATATTAATAGATAAATGACTAATTAATGAAATAATTTTTACAATATTATAATAAAAAAAGAATTAATAATATTACATTCTAAGATATTTAGGTTAAATATTTTTATTTTCAATTTTTTTATTGATTTTTGCAGTTTATGTGTACATATATAAAATATCAATTAAATAATTTAATACTTTCAGGTATATAAATTGTCTTTATTAAATATTATTATTATTAATGATTATTACTATAAGTAAATATTTTGACGATTCAGCAAGTATTTATATACTAAAAAAAACCTTTTCTACAATCGAGAAACTTTAGCCACCTAGCGGTTACTCTCAGAACCTTGAAAAAATAAAATATCCCTAATATGATAAAAAATGTAATATTTATGACCTTAAGAGCTTACCAGAGAGGAAAAAGGCCGTATATATTTTATTTACCAAGACATGTATTCACTCTGGGGATGAAAGTTTGATGCCCAGTAGACTGAAGTCCTGCAATTTTATAACCAGACTATTTTGCCGTCTGGATCAGGATATTAATATTAAAACTATGAATAATATGGCCTGCATTTAAAATTATTTATTTAACTAAAGAGAAGAAATATTGAAAAATTGAATAGCGGAAAGTGCATTATGTATCTTGGACTTGTTGTATAGAAAAGAGAGGGATGAATATATTTGTAAGGGTGGAAAACACAAGGGGTGAAGTGGAAAAAGTGAAAAAGTTGAGACTGCCTCAGACGGGAACTGGGAGAGTACCAGCTCGCATTCCAAGTAACTTATTCATATAAAAAATGTAA